GAACGATCGACAATTGACTGTAGATCCTAACGGTGTGACAGAGTTCCATGCGCATGAGGTTGGGATGTGGTTCCTCCACGCGTGTCAGCTTTGCAGGGACGAGGGTGGAGACGCTGACAGTTTGCACCGTGATATCATGATGATCGCCGATCATTGGGCTGGCGATCATTCGAGGTGCGACAGTGATAGGCAGATTTTGTGCGAGAAGGCAGGTGGGCCGGGACAATTGCGATTGTACAACCACGCGGACAGAGTGTACAAGCTCATTCTGCTTGTTTTAGGAAAACAATGCAGCACAAACATCACGTCGTACTGCATCGAGTTTCGCCATACATCGGTGGTGGAAACTTTCCAAGGCACCATCATCATCTACGTGAAAAAGTCAGTGCATTTTGAGAAATCGTACAATGCGCGTGTGGCAATCCCAGTCATTCGGTGGAACAGTCACTGTTGGCGCAATCCGATCGAGTACCGTACTCCCATGCCCGCCGACACTTCCATATGTCTGAGACCTGCCTTTCGTCGACATAACGAGGCTGCAGACGACTCTTGGGTAGACATGTTGGCGGCATTCGTGTTTGGTTCATCTTGCGTTTCGGACTGGGCCCGACGTCTTTTGCGACGTGCTGATTGTCCTTATGGGGCCGGACCCGGGTCGTCACCGCCTCCATTGCCGCGCGACATTTTTGTCATGGATGGAGATGTGCCTGTTGACGTTGTTGATGATACCGACTCCGGTTCGGACCACGATGTCTTGGGAGACAACAACATTTTCATAACTGGTGATGAGTTTGAGGATGTTGGGATTGCATATCATGATTGCCAGCTCGGAATCGGAGGGTGACGATATTGAGCTGCATAGCGTTTGACGTTAAGTGCCTCTAACATGGAATTCACCTGACTCTTTTCATTAGATCACATAATGTTTGAGCACGATGTGGTTACGCTTTCAATGGTCGTTGTCACATATCTCATGGTGTCTTACTTGTTTGTGGTTGTTTCTACATATACGGTTTTAGTGTGCCCTTCATGTTTGTCTTGTCTTTCACGGTGCAAGGGGGGGGTCAAAAGATGAATGATAAAAATGAATGGTTACGGTGTGCCCTTCATGTTTGAGTTGTTTTTATAAATTTTTATTTTTGCCGTTTGTTTTGCAAAGTGCGCTCTATTAGATCATATATACATATATATATATATATATATATATATATATATATATATATATATATATATATATATATATATATATAATAACATAAATATCAAAGGGGAAAAGCAAAAAAAAACAAAGGAAAACAAAAAAAGATATCACTTCATTTTTTATGTTATTCCTTACAACTCCACCTGTTCAGAACCTCTTGCGTACAAGGCCGCCCACGTGGATGTAGGTTGAGCGGCGGCTGGCCCCACCCCCGTGTGTCATATCGACCAACTTGCATACAGCCAGAAGACAAAGAGGCAAAGAAAAGAGGAAGGGAAGAGCCAAACAATACAGAACAGGGGGCAACAAAAAAAATCCCAGATCACAAGTCCCACATGCAAGCACCGCCCGAACTCACAGGCCAAACAACGGGACAAGACCAACCAGGATATCAAAACATTCTTGTCTACAAAGAAAGCAAAAAGAAAGGTTCCGATCCCTGTGTGACAACCAAAAAGAAAGATAAGACAATCGCGGATGACGTATATATATCACAAGCTTATCCTTTCCTCGCCAGATGAACGATTTGGATGACAGTATAACATCAAAAGCTATTACCGCCTTGCACGTCGACGAGGCCGCGCGTTCTCTGAAGGATCGCAACGTGTAGTTGGAAATCTTTGAAGGAGTCAAACGTAATGACTATTGCACATATGTATATATATATATAATCAATTAGACCAACCGACCATAAAAACCTGTTGCGTCGCCTTGCGACATACGGCGAACATATCCACACGCTCCACATGGATTCGTTTCGCAGAGTGCCACGATGACTGTCAAGTATTGTACGGAGAAGCGGATGCACGATTTCGAAAAGCTCATCTCCTGGTCTTGCATAGAATACACGTGTTGAGAAGTACGACGTGTTTTTCCGTAGCACGATACGTATATGTATAATGGAGTTTTGAAAATAGTAAATCTCTCTCATGAAACGCACTGCGGTTTCGTCGTCAACCAGTACGACGTAGTGCTTCGTTTCTAGTCTGTCATGCCAATCGAAAGCGGACAATTCGCCAGGACCTTCATGTCTTACAGGGTAAGTAAGGAAATAGTAGTCCTCAGTAGGATTGTCTGGTAACCGCCCGCTGTGCGACAAACCGATGATTCTCGATGTCATTGTATCGGGATGTGTGATCTTCCTGCAAAATAACATCAAGCTCGTAATCTGAGGGTGACGATACATGGTTGCACAACGTTTGACATTCACTGTCTTTGTCAGTCACCTAACTTATTTTATGATTGGGTTTGTATTTTAATTTGTAAAAAAAAAAAAAAAAAATCTTATTTGTTTTACTT